GATTTAGTTTATAAAGATCTAAGTAGATGGGCTATAAACGCATGTACTAGAAAACTGTAAAACTCACGGATGACTCAAACCGCAATGGAGGAGGTGGCTGCCGTCGGGGCAGGAAACCACAGGATTAGACACGTAGCCAGGGCTTCCCACACTGGTCATATGAAAAAGAGACTCGAGCGGTTGGCAGGTCACACGCGCCTTAATGAAGAGAGATAAATACGTGTATGAAGTCGAGAAGCAATTAATTTAATGTCACACTGTCATATCTTAACCCACGATTAATTATATTTATTTTAAATTACATAAGCAATCCCCCGCCCTTTCTTGCGTGGCATGTATCACGTGGCAAGTACATGTACCCTGCGCTGGTGCTGGAACCACAAACGTAGACAGGCTTTAGCAGCATTTTCTGCCTACTTTATTTTCACTTCATGATCAGATGCTTGCCCACGTATTTTGGCATAATAAAAATCACTGTCAATAAACTCTAAAAAAATACCACTCACTCTTATTCCGCTCTTCCTATACGTGTTACGAGCTGTACACACGCCGTCACTGTTGAAGTACGCTCCGTCACACCTATCAGCATCATTGGAGCATGCGCAGTCCGTACCAACGAATCCTGGAGGACAGGCCACGATGGATGCCGCGTCGTCTGCGCCGGTTGACTTTGGTCCAAAGTACGTGAAACCTTGCCCTTTAAATAAATAAATAAACAGCAAAGTGATAGATAAACGGAGAATTGAAAATAAAATCTTAAATGAAGCTGAATTTTAAAAAAATACAGGAATCCAATTGATCGGAATATCAAAAAGCCTATTTGAAAGAGAAGCCAAGAGATCAGATTATCGAAAAAAACATTATTGAAGACGGAAGATACATCACCAACAACGCCCTGTAGTCCAAAAACAACGAATACCATTTGTAACATCACCATACTGACGATCATCTGAAGTCGACTGAAAGAAAGCAGTGATATGGTGTTGGTGCTTTAAAATGTACATAATTCAGTGCTGGTACTTATTAAACGCTATTTCTGTTGATGAAAGTAAATGTACCTGTAAATTTATTTGTTTTGGTAGACTGAGATAATTCAAGAAAAAGAAACAAGTCATGTACCCTGTACTACATGCAGATATTACTCGATTTTGAATTATACAGCATTTATCGAAGCAGACAAAGGTGTAAAATAATCATTTATAAAATGAGTAAAAAAAAAACTGACATTCATAGATTAAATATTGATGCCTTAAGGTAATCTATACGAGATTTTTTACTAAAAAGGATTTTCCTCGAGAAATAGAAATTATCTCCTGCTCGCAAATCATTGCTCGACCCGACCCTGCACTTGGATACGATCTATTACTCCATTTTATACTTATGTTTTGATTCTTTTTAATGACTGGGCAGTCATTTGCAAAATATGAGACAAAAATATGTTTTGGGTTTTTTCAAATGTGAATAGATTACCTTTAAACTTTATACTGTACAGTATTTTAAAATATCTGAAAAGAAAAAAGTACTCCTTCCTCGTGGACCGTGAAGGAGCGTTTCCTATCATCAATAACAAACATAACATAACAAACATAAGAAATAAAGTAAGAAAGAAAGGTAAATGTTTGCACAGAGCAAAATCAGCTATACATCTAAAAAATATTAAGTATTAAAACTCACCTTTTTTCAGCCTTTGGTTCACGAGCAGCTCTGGAACGTGGTTTTACCTCTTCCCATACACTGTAAAAACAGTGTTTAGCTCCTAAACACATTTCTAAGCGCCTGTTTTGTCTCACTTTTTCCACGCGTTTAGCTCCTAACATGTTTAGCTTCTTAACATGTTACACGCTTGTGTTTAGCAGAATGACGCGTTTGACGGCTTATAAATGTAGGCTGTATTTGTTTCACTTTTAGGTGCCAAGGGTTTCAACTGTTTAAGTCGCACACGCGCGCGCGCGCACGCACACACACACAAATGAGACGAACTCACGGTCACCTTTAACTGCTATAGTTATCTCTTTCTATAACAGGGTACCGTGAACTGTCAACATTGTTGACTTCCCGCTATCATCTTTACAGCTGTACTTATTCATCCTTGTGTTAGCTGACCTTGCGAGGAAGTTTTTGGGAATGTATTTCTGAAAAGCAGGTTAGGAAAACTCACTAGTTCACTAAATGCACGAAGGTTCATATGAATCGAGCATCGGTGGAGCGTGGGTTGCCAGTAACACATATAAACCACCTCTACTAGATTCTTGTACGACTCAAATAAAGTCGATATGCCAAGGGACAAACTGAATAAATCACTCGATCAGCCATAAAAGAGCTTTAGACTGCTCTTTAAATTTTTGGTCAGAAATTTAACCTACTTAAAATGTTTGTGACCTACTTTTCTGCCCCATGTATATACAGGATAGTAAGCTAACAGAAAAATCCATTCAAATATCATTTTTCGGGTAATTTAATCAATGCCTTCTGGCAATTTCCTTAATTATACTTTTTGAAACTATATACTGGTATTTGGTTGGTTTTTGAGCAAAAAATTGACTTTGTATGCATCTTTAATAGGCCTATTTTAAATAAGCACGCGTTACTGCAAGGAAGGACACCAAGCGTTCGAGCAGACTGCTCCACACCTTCAACAGCTCCATAAGTTTACAAGGGGAAATGTTAAGCCAAATTATTGAGCCTTGTAATAAACTTATGGGACCGGTGAAACTAATCACATAGTTAAAAGTGCGACACTTCTAAGAATGTTAAACATTTTTATTTCTTCTGAAGCCTTGTAATTAACTTATGGGACCGGTGAAACTAATCACATAGCTAAAAGTGCGACACTTCTTAGAATGTTAAACATTTTTATTTCTTCTGAAAGGAGCTTGAAAAGCTAAACTTGTTGTTCAGCTACCCTCTACCAGGGCGACAGATTGATTTTTCACAGATATGTCTATAGATAAATAGATAGTCAATTTGGTCTGATGTCGCCTCAGCAAAAAATGTCGCCAAGAACTGCGACCTTGATAGAGGGTATTGTTCAGCAGCTCCACGCGTTTAGGAATTCCACACCTATAACAGCTCCATATGTTTAGCAGCCTCACGCGCTTAGCAGGGGAAGTGCTTAGCCAATGTGCTTAGCTTGTGATAGACTTATTATAGCTCCATATACTGGTGAAGCTAAGCACATAGCTAAACGTGTAACACTGCCAACGTGTCTAGCATTTTCTTCTGTGAAACGCTTGAAAAGCTATACGTGCTTAGCTTTTACACATATTTCTAAATGCGTATAGGTGCTTAACGTATGTTGTATGTATTTAAATGCTAAGCACTGTTTTTACAGTGTACAAACAGTACCTATCGTTAAGGGAATGGATAAGCATTGCCTTTTATTGCGGTATTTATACAGTAAAGAAAATAAGGCAGTTGAGAGACTAAGGAAAATAAATTTATGTTTAACTTTTTTAACACACGCTCAGGCAGGTGGCAACCTCTCCCGTCTTATTTACATTGGGGAAATTCATCAACTCGAGAAAGAGTACGTTAAACAAAAATATCATCGGTTTGGCCATTACTCACATGCTCGCGCTCACATTACATGATACCAGTGTATGTTTCAGCTGATAAGCTATAATAGCTGTAGAACATGTCAACAATTCACATTTATCTTGAAGGACAGCTTTTTATAAGAAAACCGCGTAAAAAGCATGCACTATATTTTATGAGCCCAGCCTGGTTGCTCTGAGACGTGCTTGGTAAGAATGAATTAAAAACGAAATTAAAGATAGGGGGATTACTCATTTCAGCGTGAGTAGAGAGCACAGCCATTATAATTATGAATATACACACGTATTAAATGTACAATCAAACAAACAAACTCATACTGTCACTTTTCACTCACGTTAGTGACTCTAACATGCCTAATGTCAAATACATACAAGTGCTGTGAAATTCAATAAAAACATTTCTAAACATGAAGATCACTTGATAATTACGACTGGCTGGTGTGTTGGTGCGATTTCCATTATCACTTTTAAGCTATCCTAATAAGCTATATATATTTAAGATATATATATATACTCAGTACATATCACATGCACAGGCCAGATTGAAAACCAGGCGTGATTTTAAATCCGCGGGTTTTCGCACCTAACTGATCTGCAATTTTATTAACACTAAAGGTCTCCATCCACTTTTTTCTTAAATGTTTCACTCAAAGTATCACGTAAGCAGCAAAGAATTATCAAAATGTTGGTCAAAGTACTCATAGGACTGATATGCAGTGAAAAGAACCCCTAGGTGAGGCCAAAAAAAATTAAAGTAAATGATTTTTAATTCTCCGCATGCAAGGAGTTCTTGATCAGGGATTCTTTACATAAAATATTTTTCTGATGGATGTGATCATTCTATTTAAAATATCTGTAACTTTGAAATTCAATCTGACCTAGGCGGTTTTAAAATGTGCCTGGATTTCAGTCTGGACTGTGTCATATACAAATATGTTTGAATTCCCGTATGTTGTCGAAAAATCAAAATCCAAATGCAGACCTATGACCTACCTGTTTGATACCGTTATGTCACTGTGATACCACAAGTGTTCTTAGAAGTCTTGCTCTCTCTCTCTCCCTCTCTCTCTCTCTCTCTCTCTCTCGATTAGTCGAGCAAAAACTGAATGATTAATGCTTATTTCCAACTGCTTATTTATGGATCTACAGAAAACATCTTTTCTAGAGTAGATTCTAGGGGTTATTGACTGATTAAATGGGGTTTTTAAAAAGTATTGAATACTGATAGTTAGACGCTTTATCATGTATGACGCTCTCGTGAAAAGAGCATTATGCTTTAATGTAAACATTAAGAGACTGCCGTGCACACTGTGCATGAATTGTAAAATAAATTTGGCATTCTATACACACCCAAAGAAGAGCACGTCTCTGAATACATAAGAAAAAATTTAAACATATTTATTGCTCTTTATTTGAATGAATGTATCTCTGAAAAGAGTTTAAAAGAGTATTGTCTGGAATGTCACGCAGCACTTCAAAGATTTCAAGAGAGAAAGTCAGAAAGACAGACACCTTCCGAAAGACTTACGTGTATATACTAGTACACTGTAAGTACACCGTGACATGTTTTGGTAGAGAAATAAGACTGTGCTCCTTGATGTGACAATACCCATCACGCTAACATTATTTAGACAGTGTTCACTTTGATGCCGTCAGCAATATCACCACGACACTATAGATGGGAAGATATGTATTTAGTTACCAATTTCCCTTTCAAAATAAAACAAGCCAAAAGAAACGATCATCATTGAATATCTGTTTTCTTTGCAGAGAATGGTGTTTGTTTTATGATGGCATGACGCTTAACAAAAGGTGAAATAGATTGAAGAAAAACGAAGCAATTAAGAAGATCAACCCTTGTAACTGAATCAAAATACGTTTACGTGTTCGTTTTGTGCAGTAACACTAAAGTTACAGATATGATCGTGCCGTGCTTTGTAATTGAGTCACGCATTCAATGAATTTATAAAGAATAGATGAACAGTGGAGGTGTCACTGCATCCGCTATGAAACAAGCCACAGGTGTTATTGCTTATTGACCTGTCATTTAATAGTCACGCATTCAATGAATTTATGGAGAAAAAATTACCCGTACCAGTAGATATGTAACATCATCATTTAAGAATCAAGATGTGTTGTTATTTCTCATCCTGTCAGTAACTCAAAAAATTTCAATGACCTTGACCATCAATCTCTCCACAATGACGAACAGTGAAACTCAGAATGTTTGGCAACAAAGTTAAAACATGCCAAAGAGTGTAAAACATGGTTAAACAGAGTTAGGCATATGTTTCTACATTCAAAACAACGTAATGAATCTATAAAAGCATTTAAAATCGGTGTAACAGTCGATGGGATCTGGGATAAAAAGCACTGTTCATAACACTTTACACCTCTGGGGTGAACATTTGCAAATGGAAGCACATGGAATAAGAGGTGGAACATTTTTGACCAGTGGTATAGATACATACATTAACATCAAGGAACCACGCAGTAGCAGATCAATATGAAGCGACAATGTCACTTTCAATCATACTAGATGGCGATGTCCTCGAAAAAAAAACGTCCAACAGTAACAGAAGAAAGAGTGCGCAGTGACAGGGAATAAGAGACGTACAGGTTTAATTGGTTCAATACAGAGTGAAAGGGCGGGGTAATATACATGTGGAAAACATAATTCGCCTCGGAGTGTAAAGAGCCGCGCTGTGGTGAAAAAGCCCATAGCACTAAAAGATATGCAGTGAGCTTTGAAGCCATTGTCTGCTTTTGGATCTTTCGATGTGAGATATCAGCATGAGGAGTTCGAAGATGAAAAGTATTCTACATCTTCTCTATATCACAGCGGTATTTTGGCAAGGCACTGTGCATGGTGTTTTGGTTGCTGCTCGTGCAAACAAAACCGTCATCAATTCCACGTACCCGCATAACGCTGTCATGAACGTCAGTGATACAACACACACTACTTCGCAAGGAGAACAAATGATCCCCACCGGCGAAGTTAACGGAAAAACTGAAGAGTACACAGAGTCCAACACCCCGCTGTTCACTTACCAAGATAAGTCTGCTGGTGGAAAGGGTTTCCCTTGGAACGCAACAACTGCCCTACCCACGTTACAGGAGGCTATAAGCCAGAATGTGTTTGAAACCACATCACCACCAATAAATACAGAGGCATCAAGCTCCATGCCAAGTCCCTGGAATGGTACAAACTTTAATTTAACTTTATCAAAAAACTTTTGCGCGACAGGCGGTTCTGGATTGGACTTTGTTCAGATATCTTGCTACTGCGACGAATTCTGCAGTATTTTTGGGGATTGTTGTGAGCCATACCATCCTTGCGACAAAAATTCTACAGACTATAAGCACACTACGAGTCCCAATAAGATAGACATTGGACGAGAAAATATTGACTGCATATTACCTTCTCTTGACTCTAGATATTTGAAGTACTCGGACAAGGATTTCTATTGGATGGTATCGTCTTGTCCAAGCTCATGGCTAAATGAAGCAGTACGTGATAAATGTGAGAACATCACTGATGCCGATACCATTGACCGCCAACTGCCCGTATCTGACCCCCTCACAAAAGTGACATTTCGAAACAAGGACTGTGCAATGTGCCACGGTTTTGAAAATTACGACAATTGGAATGGCATCGTACGCTGCAGGTGGGATGTGACAAGTACTACGTTGAGTGTCAGTACAATGACCAGTACGGCCGATGTGTTAAAAACCATTCGGGAGAACCGTAATTGCATGCTTTATTTCGTTTCACCAATCACCAGCCCTGGTAGACCATGCGTGCCAAGTGGCGGGCCTCGTGGCGGAGTATTGAGGTGGATTACGGATAATGATTGCGTCGAAAATTCTGAACCTAAACACAAGGAACTTTGTTCATTCGGGCCGCAATTGTTAACTTATGTTCGTACAAGAAATTTTTTCATGAGAAATGTATTCTGTTGGAATTGCCTATACAGCAGTGACGTCACAATGAGGGTGGAGCCGTGTCCTCCAGAAATAGGTGAGTTTCTGTGCCCTGTCTTTATCTTTAAGTCTTCTGAAGATGATATTATGAATTATTTTTTCTTGCGAAAAAAACTTTTGCAAGTCTTTTGATCTGCTCCTTTGTGCGTGTGTGCGTTTTTGAATTTGTTTGTGGCACAATTTTGTCCGGCAATCGAGGTTTCAATAGTTTCATAATATTTTGTACATATTGATAGACACGAAATCACGTGATCTGATTTTCATAAGGAACATGTCTATTGTTTATTCGTAAAAAGTCCGGAAGTTTTGATTTTTATCTTCCGTTAAAGAGGCTACGCGAATGCCTCAAAGACAGTGAATAATGGTCTGATAGAAACTTTTTAGAATTTCCTAGTAATGTAATTTAAGACAATGAATGGATAGGCCTATATTTACAGATATGTGTCAAAGCCTTCATTTCTGCTGGAAAAAGGGGTTTCAGTGTCCATTGCTAAGCACCAGAGACCAATAAACAAGACATTTTGTTTTAAATTTTTTGTCAAATCTATTGTATTGAATTCTGTATTTTTTTAAATTTTGGATAAAATCTCATTTTAATGCCCAGGCTATAGATAGGCAATAGCGTGCATTATATTTAACTCTGGTGGGAGTATATCATACATGTATACCAATGGGAGGATGGTATGGGAGATTCTCAATCCATGCACCGCCCCCCCCCCCCCCCCGAAAAAAGTTCCCTCATTCTATGGTTGCGTTGTATATTTCGTCTTTTAAGTAGTTTTATTTTAACACCTATGAAAACAGGAAAAAAGTAACGTAGTCTGTTATACTTCTTAAAGCTATAATAACTTTTCGTTTTGGCTAAAAAATGAATTTTCCTGGAGTAAACAACAATTTTCCCATACTTACCAATGGTTAATGAATCCATTTTTATATTCAAGTTAGTCCCTGTTTTTTTTTCTTAAAAGTTTTTCTTTTTTTTTTTTTTGTTATTATTTCTTAAGAGATTATAACAGAGTATAGCCATCAATATATACAAAATGAAATAAAATAAATAGCAGTTATTTTACCCCGACCGGTTTCATGGCATCTCTAAGTGATTTCATCAATGGCAGAGACTCAATGTGGTGTCTCTTACAATGGATATTTGATTGTTGCTTTTACCAATGCTTTAGGATCAGCAATTACCTGTTTAATGTAGGTTTAAACTTCTTAATAAATGTTTCTTTAATTTCCCTTTCTGAAATGTTTCTTTAATTTCCCTTTCTGATATATATATATATATATATATATATAATTTTCGATAATGTACATACTACGCTCTGTAACATTTTTTTTATTTAACCTTTCAACGGCGAAGTAGATAACTTCTATCTCCTTTTTACATTGGGATTTTTACTACTACTACCTTGGTATAATAAAAAATTGCTGAGATAAACTTTGCTAGCAGAGGTGAATTATTCAACTTTATCGTTTAATCTGCAGGCAGTGAAAACACTCTTTATCCAGCGGGTTTCCTTATGGTCATGAATTTGTCATCAAATCCGAAGTACTGTAGCCAAGAGAATAGTCAGGAAAGTAACATCCAGCCTGAGTCTCTCTCTCTCTCTCTCTCTCTCTCTCTCTCTCATATATATGTATTGCTTATGATCGATATACAAGGCAGATTGTCATTTGAGACCACCACTTGTCAGGTTGCTAATTAACATAAAGCCCCTGTCACGCATAGCATTTAGCACCAACACATGAAAAAATTAACTCTTACGCAGACAAACGCAGGGGCATCGTTACACCTACGTCGTATATGTTCACGTTTACAGGAAAACGTTGATGTACGTTCCCATTAACAGGGGCAGATTTAAGCTGTCTTCTGGGTCTTCCGGAAGACAGTCAGATTTTCAAGTTTACTTTGACGGGTATCTTATTTTTTTCTGTCGGGAAACGGTCAAAAATGGAGAATGGATCAACAAAGATAATTTGGAAGACTGTCGGAAAATATCCCTAGACCCCCCCCCGGCATCCGGAGAGGGACGCTTAATATACCTGTCAGTTTTGCTCTAATATACGCAGCGTAA